GTGTCTCTGGAGAACCCTGCCTGGCTCAGATGCCCCCAACTCTGACCTCAGGTGCCTCTCACCTCCTCTCACCTGGCCACCAAGTGATCCACGCCAGCATCCTCTTCTCCGTCACTAAAGTGGCATTCACAGAAGCCCCAATCCAGGCCACACAGGCCCAAAGAGGTCGGAGAGGGGCCCCGTGCCTGCGGAACCCTCACACTGGGGAGCGGGTGGCAGAAAAGCACCATCCACGCTCTTCACTCTGAAGGGAAGGTCCCCGCCCCCCTGAGGCCCCAGAACAGCTTCTGACTCAAAACCCAAGAGATGACCTTGTTTTGAGGGCCGAGAGAGCCGGTGCAGAACATGCCCATCTTCCCATGCCCAAGGCTGAAACTCCCAGGCAGTCAGGTTTCCCAGCAATTCCGGCTAGGACAGAAAAGCAGGGAGTGAGAAACACATCCGAGAACCCAGTGGGGTGTGGGGTGGCCAGAGAAACCCGGCACTGCACACAGGGTTCCCTCAGCAGGGGAGCCGCAGGGCCCCCGAAGACGGAAGAAGGTGAGGGACGACCGCCTGCCAGAGGGGACTCGGCTGGGCAAGGAAATGTCCTACGGGGCAAAGGAGCATCGTCCGAGACGGTCTCTGAGCAGATGACCGAAAAACTTATCCTCCAACTTGAGGAAATGAACTCAACTAAAAACCATGAACTCTAATGTTATTATATGGGGGGCGGGGGATCTCTTGTATTTCAAGGGCCAAGGTCCCCTGACAAAGGCAGAAGTCTCTGAAAGTACAGTGTTAAAAGCGACAGGCACGTGGTTTGCCAATTAAGATCCCCCTTGCTGGCACACACATCTTGTGCCTTATCATTTCTGCCTCTTTCAGAATTGGCTCCTGCTCCCACAGCAGCTGGTCAACCCGCCTCCTCCCTGGAAACCCAGAGAAGGGGAGGCAGGGGCTGGGGAAAGGCAGGGGGAGACCGGCCTCAGGGAGACGGGAGCACGGTGCTCTCTGGACCAAAGCAGCAACGGGCTGAAGGATCCTCTGCGTCACAGCTCTGACCGGTGGCCAGCCTGGATCCCCTGGCACAAGAGTGGCTCTGGACCGCTGCTGGCACAGGGGATGGGTCTGTGGGGACCGCTGTGTAGAACCCAGCATGGGCGGCAGTGCCCACAGGCTCCTAAAAATAAGCATCCGCTCGGCTCGGGATCCTGCGGCCCTCCACCTGGCCCCAGAGTGTCCTCACTTTCCGGGACTGGGAACTGGCCGGCTTGCCAGTGGGCAGGAGGCGAATGGCTGGAGGGGGCGGGGGCGGGGGAAATTTGTTCTACAGAAAGGGCCACTTGGGGTGCCTCCCTCTCGTCTCCCTCACCCACCGGGTGTTTCGGCGATGCCAGGGCAACCACAAAGCCCGGGGAAATCAGGAGTCTGGGGAGTGCCAGGCGCAAGTCCTATCCTCAGATAACTCCTGGTTTGTAGGGAATGCCAGGCAGGCAGATGGCCAGGTACACAGCAAACCGTGTGAGCAGAACGCTCGCTTCCCCAGCCTGAGGCCCCCTGGGCTTCAGGCACCTGCATTTCGTCCTCTGTGTGGCCACAGGTAGGAAGGTGGCTAACTCGGGGTGTGTACACACAGGACTGCCCCCTTCCCCGGAGGCACAAGGTGAAGGCTAGCACCCGACAGCCGTCCTGGAGCCCCCTCTGGGCCACAGAATCTGCACACCGACACGCCTCCTCCACATCCTCAACACAGGCAGTTGGCAGAGATGTCCTCTGAATCCATAACATCTATGGGAAAGGAACTCCCTGGCGTGGCTTTAAAAATAATAATCAGAAAATAACACAAACCTATACACAGCTTCTTCTGGAAAACCGGAGGCACAGGGAGCTGGGGTAGGATTTGCCTGGCATGTGGCACTTAGCGACCGGTGGATCATTCCGGAACTCTGCCATTCTCCAGCATGGGACCTTCACCACGGCCCACGCCGTCACCGCATGCCGCTGCTTGCACAGCTGTGGCCACCCTGGCTGCAAACGCCCCGGTCTGTAACATCCACCAAAAGGCAATGGTCTAGAGGAGCCACGTGCCTTTCAGACTTCCAGCCTCCAGCCGCTATCAGAGGAGCCTGGATTCGACATCTCTCACTCGCCCTGTGACCCTGACCTCCTGAGCTCAGTTTCCGCTCTGTCGAGTGGGGCCAATGATGCCCATCCCCCTGGGTTGTTTTGGGGACCCACTGAGCTGGCAAGTGTGGAAGTCCCGGACACATTCATTCACTGACCTCGACCAGATGCTGAGCCTTTCGGGAGCAGACCCCACACTGGGTTCTGGAGACACAATAAAGACAAGGACCCCTGGCCTTACAGAGGGAAGGTGGATGTGAAATTACGCAGTGACTGCACTCCAGCTGTGGTCAGAGCTACACGGAGATCTATAAGGGGTACAGGAAAAGCTGACCGGAACCTCTGGGTGGGGGCAGGTGAGGAATGCTTCCTGAAGGAAGTGACGTTGCAAGACTGGGTTGGGATTAATGACAAGGTAAAGAGGGAGAGGAAGGTGAGCACTGCAAGCAGAGGGAACCGTCTGTGCAAAAGCCCTGGGGCACCAAAGAGTGCAGCCTCTCCGAGGAGCTGCAAGACCAGGAAGAAGGGTGGCTCCAGGGGTGGCTGCTGAGGTCAACAAGAAGGTTAAGGATTTTCCTCTTTATCCCGAGAAACGGGGGAAACCATTTAAGCATTTAAGCCATGGATCAGTATGATCAGATTTGCATTTTTCAAAGATGCTCTGCCCACCCCACCCCCAACCCACTTCCCACTCTGCAGCCAAAGCCTGTCATCAAGGCAGGTGGGAGACGATGGATACGGTCAAGGCTAGAGAAGGCCGGGTCTCTGGGAAAGGAGAAAAGCAAACAGAACTGGAGAGACAGAGAGAGAGAGAGATGATGGATAAGTCACAGGGCACTGGCCTGCACAAGTGGGGGGACAAAGGTGTCATCCTCTGAAACGGGAGAGGACCAGATCTGGGGGAGGGAGGCCTAAATGTCTAGACCTGTCAAGTCTGAAAAGGACGCAGAAAAAGGCCCCGGCGTTCAGACGTAATGCAGGAGAGGACCACGCAGGGTGGTGGCTGACAGTGTCGAGATCCCAGCGCAGGGACAGCAGGGGAGAGGGTCAAGGTACAAGGAGCCCCCAACAGCCCAGGGCTCGTGGAGAGGACGAGACTGGGAAGTGAGTGTGGCGTGGACGGCTGAGGGCAGCAGGTCCTGAGAAGGGAACGCTGATGTTAGGGCAGGTTCAGTGGAGGGTTGAGAAGTGAGCTGCTACTGGACAGGGAGACCTGCGTGGACACGATCCTCCACACTGAGTGTCCACGTGTCTCGGGGGTGCCGATCCCCCCCCACTGCCAAACCCAAACGCCTGCAGACCAGCCTTCCCACTGCCCAGGCCATGCCTTCAAGACTGGGCTGATTCCCAGGGCCAGTGTCCCATCCTGGGTAGCCGACTGCAAACATGCCCCTGATTGCTCACACCTCCAAGTAAACACCCTCTTTGCAAGGGGAACTTATAGCCCCGCCCACAAACCGGCCGGGTATATTTCCTCACCCCTGGAATTGGGGCTGGCCTCCTGCCACTTTGGCCAAAAGAGGCCCCGGAAGAAGTGGTGTGCTAGCTCCAGCCATGGGACTCAGGAGGCTTTGCTCACCTGGAACGCAGCCTGAGTTAGCCTTGTGGAGGATGAAAACCCACATGAAGTAGAAACCAGTCGCCAGTCCAGCCGGCCTCCAGCCCACCGGCCAGCTGACCACAGATGCATGAGTGAGCCTGAATGAGATCAACCAAGCATGGCCCAGATCAGCACAGATGCCCAGCTGACCCACAGACTCATGAGCAAGAAGAAACAACTGCCGTCTCACTGTCCCATGTTTGGGGACTTGTTTGTTATGTAACACTAGCTAACTGATACACGCTTCCCCCTAAGGGCACGAGGACGCTCTACAACCTCATCCTGCTTCTCGGTACTGGATAAAACCCGATGCAGACCTGCAGCTAAATTCATTCTGGTAAGGCTTAGAACTGATTTACTTGGTGAGGTCTTTTACTTTAACTTATTCATTTATTTTTATTTTTATTCTTGACTATATTTGCAATCAGAAATGTAATGTTGGATGGCCCCTGCAAAGTTCTCAGAAGCATCTTGTCCTGGGTTTCTCCAGAGAGGCGTGTTTTGTTTGCGGGAGAGCGTGTTCTCTTGCGGCTTTTCAAATGCTCCATTTTGCTCTGACGGCAGCCAGGGCATTTGATCGCATGAGAGATGGTGATGTGTGGTTGCAATTGGTGTCAATATTCCTTTTATGACTCTGAATTTGCATCTGTGCGAGGCTGGTAATTCTTATCTGAATGCCAGGCACAAATAAATGAAACTTATTTAAAATAACTGGGAAAATTCCATGCTGGAGGTTAAAAAAAAATTTTTTTTTTTTCCTTTTGCTGCTGCAGATGGAGAAGCTGGCCCTGGCAAGGCCGTTTGAAACCGACTCAAACAACTGGCCAGCCCCAAAAATCCCGCGGCAGGTGCATGCACGGGAGAACAACAGACAACAGAGACCCAGGACACCCACCCTTTGGCGCATCGATTTGCCAAGACCCCCTCCAGCCCTGAGAATATGGAAACGGCATAGGAGGAGGGAACAGTGCTGACGTCGTGAGTCACTGCCCTGCACACTCACCATCATCTGTGATGCTCAGAGCATCCTTGTGAGGGGTGCAGGACCAGAGGTGTGGGACACCCCATGGCATGTCAGATGGCATGTCAGTGACAGCCCGATCCCAAGACCTCTACCCTGCAGTTTTGGGGTTTTTTTTAAGTTTAATTATTTTTGAGAGAGAGACAGACAGGATGCAAATGGAGACGGGGAGACAGAGAGGGAGACACAGAATCCGAAGCAGGCTCCAGGCTCCGAGCTGTCGGCACAGAGCCCGACGCGGGGCTCAAGCTCGCGAACGGTGAGATCGTGACCTGAGCCAAAGTCAGATGCTTAACCGACTGAGCCACCCAGGCGCCCCCACTGCCCTGCAGCTCTTTGCAAGAGGCACCCACAGGGGTTCTGTGTTTTTAATCCTAACTTGGAGCCACCTGATTTACCGGCCACATTAATGGGCCCATCCTTCTGTTTGGGGCGAGAAGAGGATGTAACGGCAATGTCATGACCAGGAGAACGCTGGCATCCACCAACCAGCAGAGTTGTCCAGCCAGGTCCCCCAGCCCAAGACTGCAGAAGGTCACCAGTCAGAGGGCCGGCTCAAAGTCTCTTCCACAAGCACTGGGCAGGTGCAATGCCTCAGAAGCCCGCCTGGACACCACCTAACCCCGCCCTCCAGGCTCAGCACTGCTTCGGGATGGGAGCTCCTCAGCAGCTGGTGACCTCAGACTCTGCCGGCCAAGGGTGGAGCCTGGCCTGGGAACCAGCATTTTTCAAGAAACACGGTGTTTCAGATGCAGGGGGTCCTCGAGGGGGCCACCTCGAGAAATGTGGCCATAGAAAAGAGGCTGAGAACCCAGAGGAGGAACAGGATATGTTGCCAGGAAATCACAGGACACACTTGGAGGCAAGAGACGAGACCAGATAAAGAAGCCCCTGGAGGAATCAGGGCAGGGATGAGTCATGGAAGAAGGGGACACTTGAGCTGGGTCTTGAAGCACGAGTAGGAGTTTGTAGGTGGCAGGGCTGTGGGGAAGGTATCCAGATCTGGCTCTTGAGCCCACAGTAATGTTCCCCTTGGCAACGGGTCTTTCACCACCCCCACCCCGGGGGAACTCTACTGCAAGAAGACCTCGGGGGTTTCATCCTGCCACTTGGGACTGGAGACTTCCCGAGGGCAGGCTTGGCGATCCTTTGGGCCGCCCCAAGTGACAAGCACAGGGCCTTCCCGGTCAGGAAAATAAGTTAATAGTTGATGGGCTTTATCAACCGCCCCTGAATCAGAAAGGAATCTGCAAGCTAGGTTTCTATTTGGTCTAGTACGATCTGCCCCACTCCCACCCCCACCAGAAGTGAACGCCCGGCCAGGACTCCACCCTGAAACCCAGTCCTGAGCTTGATGGCTCCCAAGCTGGCTGTGTGCACATCTGCCTCCAAGTGTCCCCTCTGGTAAGGACAGCGGTCATACTGGATCAGGGCTGGTCCTTTTGACCTCATGTTAACTCCATCCCTGTAAAGACCCCATTTCCAAAGAAGGCCAGGGTCTGACGTCCTGGGGGTTAGGATCCCAACCTAACTTTTTCTGGGGACACAATTCTTCCCTTCCCCCAGGTGCCCGTCCCCTAGGAGGGTGTGCGAGCTGCACACGCTGGTCAGGGCCAGTCTGGAGGCACCAGGGATACCCCACAAGGGGCCTGAGGAAGGCAGTGGGGATGGATGGGACAGGCTACGGGCACTGGGCGCCCTGCTCAGTCCCTGCACAACCCTGCACACGCGAGGGTGTCTGCCTTTCCAGGCCTAAGGCCCCAGCACCCGTGGGGGGCAGGCAGTCAGTTCCAGGGTGGACACCGGTGTTCGATATGCCAGTGAGAATAGATGTGCTTCACTGAGAGGCTTATGTAAAATGACAGCTTTTGGAGAATGAAGTCCTCAGATTACAAAAAAAAAAAAAAAAAAGGAAGGGAGGAGGAGGGGGGGGGCCACAGGAAAGCACCCTCGACCCCTAGCCGGCAACCCCTCCCTGTGCATTTCCTGAAAGATGGGGGGCGGGGGGGGGGGGCACAGCAGCCCCCAGGCTGTAGGACCTCCAAAGAGAAACCCACGTATCTGGGGCTACTTCCTGTTCTATCTGCCCCCCCTTTGCCCCAACCTGCCCCCCTCTAATCTCCCTCCCCCTGCACTGTCCCCCAACACACACACTCCTCACTCCTGATCGCTGACCGAGGCGGGGAGGAAGGACCCCGGGTGACAGGCTCCTGCGGGCACAGCCACACTCTGACTGTAAAGGAGTCTCCAGTGAGTCCTTCTTGGGAAGCCCACAAAGGCACAGGATTGCACATAATTGCCCTTTGTTTAAGAGGCAAATGAATATTCCTGCAGAGCATTCTTCGCACAGATAAGCTTCCAAAAATTGCCATCTATTTGTTGCCAAGTTTGGGGCTGTTACTTCCTTTCCAACCCCCTCGCTATCTTTTTAATGGCCTCAAATGCAAACTGCCTTCCCTGGCGATCCTCTGGGGCTAGAACACTGGCCTGAGGCAGGCCACCTCTCCTGGGGCCACGAGAACGGAGCGGCTCCCCCAGGAGAGAAAGCTGAAGGTCAAGGACACTGATGAAGGTCATTTCAGGCGCACACCGCTCACGGTGAGGCAGGTAATGGCACCTGGCAAATGTCTCACCTGGATGTCCCAACTCCATTCCCTGGCGCCCGGTGGCCCCTTTCTCACCAAAAGAAGGATGGACACAGGGACACCAGGGCAGCCCTGGGAGAGAGGCTCTAACGTGACCCATGTCATAAAAGGGGACTAGTACAGACCCCACCCCAAACCTCACGGAAATCTCCAATGAACCCCTTAGGAGCAGAGGCACTCAAGACTGGAGCCAACTTGCCAGAGATGCCGGGGGTCCCGCCCCCCAGGAGCACAAAGTAGGCCTTGAACAGCTTCTGAAGACAAGCCACTTCCAAGGGCACTGCTGTCCCCTGTCCCTTCCACCAGCTGTGTTTCCAGTACACACTGGCCTGGCCCAGGCCTGGCTGTCCCCACCTCCCCACCTCGCTGTCCCAGGACAAGGATCCAGGACTGGGGAGGAAGTCCTGCCATGAAGGGCGCAACCAAGAGAGACACCTGCCCGGGGGCCCAGGGGCCCAGGGGCCGACAGCCATGGAGGGATGTCCATCATGGGGGCACGGAAGCCAGGGGCCAAGGCTTTGGGAGTGCCTGCGGGAAGGAACCCACCTGCTCTGGGGGCTTTGCTGGTCTTCCAGGTATGGGTCACAACACTTTGTCTTCTGGAATTCTTAAGGATGGGGGTGGATACCATCCACGTGACCAGTCCTGGCACCGAAAGGAAGAGCCCCCAGGGATTCCATGCATCACAGAGGCAAGGACACCCGTGTGCACACTCGCCAGTCCACAAAAGCTTATGGGGTACCTACTTCATGTGCCAGGTGTGGCCCCAGGGGATGGAAACAGTGAATCCCTGTAAAGGCCCGTGCCCTGCTCCGTTCCCCCCACCCACCCACCCACCCACCAAATTCAGGCCTGAACAGCAGTGGAGCCACTGCATTAACCTGCAGCCCCTGATACACAGCCTGGACAGGGCTGGGATGTAAGTCACTTGGTTGGGGGTGATCCCAGGAAGCTGGAGAAAAGGGTCAGGAGCCTAAGAGCAGGATGGAAGGGGGGGGGGGGTGCGTGTGTGTATGTGTGCTTCCTTTTACAGTATTATTGAACCCGTCACTCTGTGGGCCACTGGGGCTCAATCCACAGGGCACCTTCGGGGGGAACCTGTGGAGGAGCCCCACCCCTGGACTGTGGGAGGCTGGGGTGGGGGTGGCATTCCCGCCAAACCTGTCTCCTGAGGTAGAGGGCCACCTGGGCGCGTTATCTCGCCACACCTCAGCTGCTCTGTTAGCAGCCTGAAGGAGCCCCTCTCCCCCTGGGAGAAAGCCTGGGGGCAGAGAAGCTCGGGGGTGGCTGAGGCAGGGGAGCTGACCAGCGGTGGCCAATGAGAGCTGAGCCCAGAGGCCCCAAGGGACAGGCATCCCGAGGTGGTCCCAACAGGCCCAAAACAAGGTGGTTGTCTATTTCCAGGGGAACATGTGCCTTCCCCCCACCCCCGGCCCCCAGCCCGAACCCTGAGCACCAGCTTTTCAAGTACCCCACCATGAGATCACCGCAAGACCCTTGGTAAGTGTCCCTGCCCCCTCCCACACCAAAATCGTAGCTTGAAATCTAACCCCCAGGGTGATGGTGTCAGAAGGTGGGGCTTCAGGGAGGTGAAAGGTCACAAAGGTGCAGCCCTCAGGAATGGGATTAGAGCCCTTAGAAAAGGGACCTCGGGGAGCTCCCTCGCCCCTCCTGCCACGTGTGAGAAGAGCAGGGAGAAACCAGCCCTCTATGAACAAGGGGGGCCCTCACCAGACTACAGCTGGCACCTTGATCGTGAACTCCCAGCCTCTACAACTGTGGGAAATCACTGTGTGCTATTTCTAAGACTCCCAGCCCGTGGTGCTTGCAGCCGCCCCAAAGGACTAAGACAGGAGGTAGATGTCCCTCAGCATATCCAGAACGGTCTCCTCCACTGACAGCATGGCCTTGGAATTAAGCCCAGGGCCGTGTTGTTCTCCGCCCCTCGCCCCTCCTTGCCCAGGAGGAGCCACACACACCCCACCCACCACCCTGCACACCTGCTCCCAAGTCCCCCCGCAACCCTGCCCAAGCAGACCCCAAACCACGGCCCGCTGAGAGGCAGTAACAACCACAGAGGAAACATAACTGCTTGGAGCCTGGCAGAGGGAGGAGGGGCACGGGCCCGCGTCCACCCAGGAGTTCCCACATCAGACCAGGGACAGAGACCCCCCCCCATCCTTCCCCAGATGCCCACACCTCTCCCCTCCCCCCCCTTCGTTTTTTTTTTTTTTTAACTAAGCTGCTTGTGTTTTTTGAGGATGCCTTCATGTGTGCATGCCCGCACACGCACGTCAAGTTTTTATTCCAATCCTTCAATGAGGTCTTTGCCGAGAATTTACAATTCCCCCGTGGCCTCAATCTTGCAAAGATTGCTTTTTAACGCTGTTAGGCCTTAATTCTAATAAGCCTCCTCTTTATTACAGAATCAGGTCACATCTCCTTAACACCACCAGAAAATCTTTCATCGGCCAGTGGGGGGGGCGGGAGGGGCAGTAAGAGAGAGAGGGTCAGAAAGAGGAAGGGGCAGGGAGACGGAATCCTCCCTTAATGTGATGGAATTCTAAACTAATCTCATTTCTGGGAACCAGAGCGGCCTGACTGCTTTAGATAACTCTATGATACGACTGTGTCTCGTACCAGCTTTATTTTTGTCTCTTGGTTTGTAAATGACAAGAGGAGGAAGGGGCAGCGATAGGATCCGCCCGCCGCGCCGGGCGCGGGTCCAGGCTCCGCCCTGGCCAGCCGGTCATCTGCTCTGGCCCAGCACGTGCTCTCCTGCCAGGCTGCTCCGGTCCTGAGGGCCAGCAGAGGAAATAGAAGAACGGGGCCAGCAGGCTCCAGGACAGAAACCAAACCCACTCAGAGGAGAGGCACACGGGTGGGTCTGGACCCCCGGGGACCCGTCAATCAAACTCTCTCCCTCCTCGTCCTTCCTGAGTTAGGAGTGTCAAGGTTTGGGGCTTTGGAGGGAGAGATGCGGCTTAGGAACACGAGGCTCATTTCTACCTGCATTCTCCGGACAGAAGGACAGGCCCCACCAATGCACTGTTGCAATGTTTATGAAGCACCTACTGGGTGCCAGGGACACGAGCGGCTGTGCCCCTTTCCTCCACTGCGTGAGGCCAGAAGCAGACGGAATCCAAGAGCCAACAGCTGAGGGGTGCCAGAGTGCTCCTAAAGCCTGGGGGGCCTTTTGGAGACTGAGGGTGTGAGTCCAGGAGCAAGGCCTTCATTCTAGAAGCCACCACATGTGGAGCTGGGGGTGGGGGGGAGCTGCACAAGGACAGAGAACAACTCCAGATCCCGAGATGTTCTCTGGAAGCCTGTTTTCCTTGTCATCAACCACCAGCCCCTCTCAAAGACCTCCTCCCTCATGTCAACCTGGGAAGCCAGTCATTCGTGTGGGGCATTTAATCAAGGCACCACAGGAGCCCGGACAGGCACAGTGAACACGCAGACCACCCCGGGGGGCCCTGAGTGTTAAGGAGACATGCCTCGCACAGCCAGCAAGCCTCTCGGCTCCTGCTCCCGACCCTGAGCCCGCGTGACCCCACAGTGCTCTTCCGGGAGGGCAGCGTGAGTTCGGCCACAGCTTAAATGTAAAATCGGAATCAACGCAGTATCTAATGTAAGGCACCTTGGAAATCAATGGTCTTTGGGGCACCGGGGCGGCTCGGTCGGTCGAGCGTCGAACTTCAGCTCAGGTCATGATCTTGCAGTTTGCGAGTTCGAGCCCCACGTCGGGTCCTGTGCTGACAGCTCAGAGCCTGGAGCCTGCTTGGGATTCTGTGTCTCCCTCGCTCTCTGCCCCTCCTCCACTCACACTCTGATATAATTAAATGTTAAAAAAATTAAAAAAAAAAAGAAAGAAATCAAAGGTCTTTATTTTATAAACTCTGGTGCCAGAAAACAGTGGTGCCCAGGCTGAGGTGCTGACGTGGGGGTGGGAGCCGCACGGCCTTCCCGGGTCCCACAGAGGACGTGGGATGTGCTGCACGGTCCTGGGCACACAGGAGGGGGCTTGCCAGATCAGCCCTCAACGCGCACAGAGGCCTGCTTGCCTCACCGGGCCTCCCGTCCCGAGCGCCCAGCCATCCACCCTGCAAGTGTGTGGACACGATGAAGACAGGACGTGTGTGTCTATTCGTGTTACAACAACTGTTCCCCTGTCCCGGCTGTGACGGGCTGTGGATACACCCTTCCCTACTCGTCTAAAGCAGCTGCATAAAACCCACCGTGTGCCCAGCCCACCCCTTTCTGCAGGGGTCTGTTAGCAGTGGGGGGACTAGGA